TGTGAAGAAGCTTTTCCAGTTGATTTGCGATGTCATCTTGCCACAGCATTAGCCAGCTATGATTGGTTTGGATTGGATTGGTTTGGTTTGGATTGGACACACCAGTCCATGCTGGGATTGTACATGTATGTAGGATTAATATTACTTGCCTAGTACTAGCAAGGTTGGTTTACATTTGTTGCAGGTATGTTTTCATGGATGTGTCATGTGTCATGGTTGGAGACATCATTAGTGGGTTTGAGTGTTATTATGCCCCTGTGGAATGTGGTATGTGCATCTTCCTCTTAATAGCATGTGAAGTACTCATGCTGTTTAATAATAATGGTTGAATCCCAAAATAATTCATCTGGCTTTTTTAGATCACCTCATCCTTTCAACATCTGTCGGTAGTGTTAAAGCGAGGCGGGCACTGGTTACAACTAACATATATTGCACCCTCTTCCAGTGGAGATTGGCTGTGTTGTGTGCATCAGACAAGTGATATACTGAAGTATCAAACATGGAAGTGAGCTCTAATCAAGAAGAACCTGTCTTCACTGGCAAGAATATCAGCTTTCTTGAACTGACAGCAGAGAGAGCAAATGAGATACAAAGGCTGACTGATGCCATTGGTGAGAATCTGCTGCCTTTCTCTTTTGGGCCATCTTGTGGCTGTAATGCCAATGAGCTGTAATGTGACAAGTCAGCTACATCAGCACACTGGATGGCCTGTTCTCTATGGTAAACAGGTCAAAAGATCTCACAGGTGTGCTTGGCATTTTCAAAGGCTGAGAAGATACTAAGATGCAAAATCACAGTGTAGATGCTCACGTTTGTTGTTGAGTGATATGGAGAAATCTATGGTGCAGCATATCTACCAGCAGCCTGTGTCTTCATGCCTTTATGCAATGTTTTGTGATGCCAAATTTAATTCCACATTGTTCATCTTCTTCCTACTATATCCCATATGACAGAAAGTCACTATTACAAAATACATCACCTTCCATTGATAACTACAGTCACCAATGGCTCCTGGCACTGAAGCCTGTCTGTGCACAATGTGCATGGCTCTGCCCTTGGTCCTAGCCTCCCAGTGCCAGCCATGAGCCAGCATGGACATGGTGCCTGGAAATTGATCAACAGGTCTGCTGTGATTGTACTTCAGCTGCATGTGCAGCTTCAGACTGACTGAGTTTGAAACATGATGCACACCTCACAAAGTTGTAAAAATATTGATAATGACATTTTCTGACACCACATTGGCTTTGTGGAATGGGATGTCCTATGATTTTGGGCACAGCTTGCCAACTTTATGTAGTTTACTAAGCAAAGAGCAAATGTGACATTTGCTATTTGTTATTGTATGTAAACAGTTACATATATGCCATGCCAGGTGCAATATCTCCTGCGATATAGACCACAGAACATGGTCTTTGACTCGCACGATTCACATTCTGCACCATCCATCATTAGTCAGTGCTCCTCGGGTGTACGCGCCGGATTATCCTGGTGTGCGCGCCACGCAGTCCACACCAGCGTGCATCACTCCCCAGAGAACCCGAACCGCACCAAGATGGCATACCAGCGTCTGCCGCGGCACATGCAGCGGCGCGCCATGAGCCACGACCCCAGACGGCTTCCAGTGCGACTGCGTCAGGTCTTCGAGCAGCAGGTGAGCGCGAGCAGACGCCCCATGTCTCAACAGCCGGCGGGGGGGGGGGGGGGGGGGCGGAAGGCTGGTCGGATCGCTGAGCCCGCTCTCAGAATCACTCTTTTGCCTTGAGTTTCCCGTGCTTAGTTGCGCACTCATCACACCAGCTCAGTGGCCGGGGTTGTACTGATTTCACTGGTGTTGTGGCACCCGCACCATGGCGTGGCGGGCTCGGCCTGACGCCTGCCGGAAGCTGGCAGCGGCCGACCCGTCCCGTGGCGTGGCATTGCGCTGATACAGCGTTGTCACCTATGAGATTTGACTATCACTGTTGGGCTTGCATTCATGCGCGAGCGTTGGCGCATATCAGTGTACGCCATAGGCACTCGACCACACGGCACCTGACATAAACGGCAGGCTGCTCTTTGGTATATGCTGCATCCGGCTCGAATGCAGCAAGAGTTGTCGAATGCGATGAGAGTGCCGCCTGCGGGCCCTTGACGTCGTAAGCGCCTCACAGCGGGACATGACGCAACTGAAAGTGTCGAAGCGGCCGAGCCGGCGCCACCGTCGTCGGCCGAGCCAGCTGCTGCAGGAGTACAACCGGCGGCAGCGCGAGCACGTCTGGCTGGAGACGCACATCTGGCACGCGCGCCGCTTTCACATGGTGCGCCGCTGGGGCTACCGGCTGCCGGAGAGGGCCACCGACAAAGGCTTCCGTGCGGCGTACCGCGCCACGGCCCACCACTGTCTTGTGCAGGTGAGGGAGCTGTGCAGAGGCCCCCACCACTGTCTGATGCAAGTGAGAGTTTTGAGGGAGGCCCCACTTCTGTCTGTTGCAGGTGCATAACTGTGAAGAGAGGCCCAACATAGTGTCTGGTGCAGGTGAGAGCTGTGAGGAGGCCCACCACTGTCTGGTGCAGGTGAGAGCTGTGGGGAGGCCCACCTCTGTCGTGGTGCAGGTGAGAGCTGTGAGGAGGCTCACCACTGTCCAAGTGAAGGTAGAATGTGGTCAGGCCTGTCACTGTCTGGTGGCAGGTGAGAGCTATGAGGGAGGGCCAAATCATGTCTGTAGGTGAGGAGCTGTGGGGAGGCCCACCACTGTCTGATGCAGGTGAGTGCTGTAGGGAGGCCCACCACTGTCTGGTGCAGGTGAGTCGCCTGTAGGGAGGCCCACCACTGTCTGGTGCAGGTGAGTGCTGTAGGGAGGCCCACCACTGTCTGGTGCAGGTGAGAGCTGTGGGGAGGCCCACCACTGTCTGGTGCAGGTGAGAGCTATGAGGAGGCCCATCACTGTCTGGTGCAGGTGAGAGCTGTGGGGTAGTCCCATCACTGTCTTGTGCACAAAGGATCGCTGAAAACACCAACGCTGTGTTACGCAGCCGAACTGCCGGTCGTGATACTCAGGCTGTTTGGGTTAGATGCAGGCGATTGAGAAGAAGAGGTCAAGTAGTATGAACTAGTGAGGCGATGCAATTAAGTCCGGGCAAACACAGCGTACCATTTCCACATCATCGTTAAGCTTCTTTTTGAAACCAGTTAGCTCGCGTCACCTTCATTTGCATTCTGGGAAATACTGAACGTCCGATATCTGATTGTTTGCGTCCCTAAATGCTATTACTTTTGGAATGTGTTTGCGACCGGTTGTCGCGGGCGACCCTTCGTGGCTGCAGCCCGGGCACCCGTCTTGTGACGCGTGTCACGCCTCTCCGCCTGACCCCGCCACCGGTCGGCCACAGGACGTCTCGTACCTGTGCCAGCTGGAACTGGGCGGGCCGCAGAAGCGGCTGCTGGCCGCACTAGGCGCGCTGGGCGCCGCCGCCGCCGGCGCGCCGCACCTACTCTCGGGCCGCCACCAGGGCCGGCTGCTGCTGCTGGAGCCTGAGGAGCCGCACCGCGCCCTGGCGCCGGTCGCTTCTCTGGCAGCCGGCATCTGGCTCAGGCCTCGGTCCGGCTCGGCTCCGGCTTCCGGCTCCGGCTCCGGCCGGCTCCGGCTCGCTCCGGATCCGGCTCCGGCCGGCCAGCCTCCGGTCGGCTCCGGCGGTGACTGGGAGGCGGACCGGCAGCGGACTCTCTGGCTATGGGTGCATCCGGCTGGTTACGAGGCGGTGCGCGCGGCGCTAGTGCGCGTGCTGGACCTGCCTGCCGAGCCGCGCGAAGAGCCGGTGCCGGACGGCCCGCTGGAGGCCGAGCACGACCCCACGGCGACCGAGGCCGACTCCGGTGATGTGATGGACAGCGGCGGCGACGCCCCTGCGCCGGCCGGTCAAGCTGCAGCCCCCGCGGACCCCGCGGAGGCGATGGGCAGCAGCGACGCCGCCGCGGCCCCCGCCGGCACACCGCACAAGAACGTGGACCAGCTGAAGCTGGCGCCTCGCCGTCTGGACGTGATTCGACGCCACGTCGGCGCCGACGGGAGCCTGGCGCTGACGGAGCTGCGTGACCGCCTGGTGCGCCTGCGCCTGAGCGGGCCCGGCGCACAGGCGGTGCTGCAGGCGTGTCTGCGCGTGGCGGACGCCGCGGACGCCTCGTCTGCCGGGGTCTCGGCGGCATGCCTGGAGCGACAGCGCGCCCTCTGGCGGGCGGTGGGACAGGCACAGTCGCCGGCCGAGCTGCCGGCCGGCTGCGTGCTGGGGATGGTCGTGGACGACCCGCGCCGGCTCACCCCCGGGCGTCGTCAGATGGCCGCTCTCAGACCCGAAGGTACGGTACGGTCTGGCGCGGCGAGACGCGCTCAGTTCGGGGAGAGAAGGGGGGGGGGAGGGGCTCCGGTGCCGTTTGCGAGGGTGGAGAGTCGCGGGATATTGGAGTGGCGATGCTTTTGGCCATCCAGGTTTGTGGGCATTGAAAATCTAAGTTTTTGTCGCAGCTTAAGGTATGGTGGGACGACCGTGTGCAGTTTGGAAGCTCATGATGTGAACCGAGAGGCCTTGCACGGACGGGAGCAGAGGGTCCTGTGAAACAGTCGTGTTAGCTTGGAAACTGAAAACTAAAACCCGGTGCGCTTAGCTGCATGTTTTTGAACGACCTTCGGTCACGGACTCGAGTTTCGTGTAGTAATTATCTGGACCTGGGGCGCATGTGACGGTCTGGAAAACCATAGCCGTGGCTTGCGGAGTTATAAAGTGTGACTGGTGACGCGGTACCACCAGTGCAGGCCCGCAATGTGCCGCGGTCAGCCGACAGACGCCTGCTGAGCTGCGTCACCTGCTCCCTCGTATGTCCCCTGCCTCTAACGCCGCACGCCCCTGCCAGAGCCGACGGACGAGCCTCTGGCCGAGCTGCCGGCCGGCGTCGAGCACACCGCTCTGTGGGACGCGGCCGCGCGGCGCCGCGCCACGCGCAGCAAGGTGTCCGACTGCGAGCTGAATCGAGCGCGCGGCCGGCTGCTGGTGCCGTCGGCCACGCCTCAGGCGCTCCGGCTGCCGGCCGTGCCCGTGCTGCTGATGCAGAACTCAAGTCCGCCCGGTGAGACCCGCGCCGACAGAACGGACAGCGGCCCGGCAGCTGGGGCGGTGGTGCCCCCCCCCCCGCCCCATGAACGTTTGTCGTGAAGGGTGTCCTTTCAGTAGGTCGTGGGATATTGGGTGGTAGGGCGTTGATGTGGGGAAGCGCCAATCGGAGATTTTAGAGTCGGTCGGTCTGCATTGCAGTCTTGCAGTCTCCGTTCATGTGGCGTTTGGCTTTATGTACACTCATTCAGCCTTGTGCCCCAAAACTCCAGTCATCGTCGGCATTCACTCACCGTCACTCAGTCCCGTACATCGGTGGCGTGTTGGGGTCAGCTGACCTTGCCCTCTTCGCCGGCGACATCCCAGGCTGAGCCGCCGGTTGACCTGCCCTCCTCCCCCTCGCACCCCCAGGCTGGGATCTGGTGCTGCCGGCCGGCTGGGGCATGACCTTCTGGGTGGCGCTGCAGTACCAGGGCGCTAGGGCCGGCGCCCTCCGCGAGACCGACCGCATGGGTGAGAGGACGTCCCGCGCTCGCGCCGCTGGTGCCGTGGACCGATCAGAGGTCGCAGAGGCTGAGTGATCCGGAGTCGGCGCTGGATGTGGGACATGCCCGCTGGCGGGTGGAAGGGTGTCGGCCCGTCGTACCGCCAGACATTGTATTTTTTTTTTTTACCACGACGACGTATTTGGATGAGAGCTTGTCATTCGCCCTTGGTTTCGTTTTTGGAAGATTGAAAATACCTTTCGGAATGTCGACATGGATTGCGAAACACACACTCAGGTGGATGAGACATACGCATGCAAATTTTGGCTGCATTGCAGATTGGAGGTGATATTGGGATAAGGCGAAAGTTAATTGGTGATCGCTTGGGGGCGGGGGGGGGGGGGAGGAAAGCCGTCATTGGTTGGCACAGGTGCGAGTAAGACGGGCTTCTAGGACTGAGCTCCGGCGAGAAATGTCTCTTCTAGTATATGCGTAGACGTTTGCGATATTTCCTCCCATTACTGTAGTGTTGGCAGGTTGCGATCATGCGTAGTACGTTTTTAAGGCGTGAAGCCGTATCCGAGTATCATCGCTTAAGCATCCTTCAAGCTCAGTGCACGGAACAAACATATTGATTACTGGTAGTGGCGTGTTGCAGAACATCACAATGTTTACCAATTTTTTTTAGTGTCACGTGTGTCAAACGGCTTATGTTGAGTGCGCCGAGTCTGTGTCCGGTGACACCCACGCGGACCGTGGCGCATTGCACCAGCTGTGCCGGGTGACGCCCGTGGAGGCGGCGCTCAGCGGGGCTGCCGCCGTCGGGCGGTCCCGGACGCCCCGCTGACCTGGTGCCGTGCTGGCCGCCAGCGCTGGAGATGGGCCGACTGCGGTTCCCGGCCGAGTTCCCAGACTCTGAGGCCGGCCGGCTGTGGGACGCCGAGGAGAGGACCCAGCGGCGGCTGGAGTACTTCAAGTAAGCCACAGACGCTGGGAGAGCAGACATGATGTCACTTGTTGACGGGGTCTTAAGCTTGCGCGATGATTGCGTGTTAACTGTGAAGTTGAAGTGATATGGGGCATGCATTTGCGTGTTTGTTGGATCCCATATTGCCGTCGGAAGGGTGCACTTTGCGGTAAGCCGCGGCGCCATCTGGCTTAACGGAGATGTCCACCCGGGACGTTTGTTCACTGTTCACTGTTCACTGAGCTGCAGCCCCAACTGAGCTGCAGCCCCAACTGAGCTTTTCTTCACTGGGCCCCACCCGCGTGTCGGCCCACCACAAACCGCTGGGTGCTGCGCTGGCCCGGGTCCGACCGTCGCCGGTGCTGCCAACAACGTAATGCCAACCCCAGGGTATGCAGTAATATTGGCCGTGATTGTAAGAATCGCGGGGAGTTGGGATCAACAGCTTGACATTTTACTCCTCGTTTTGAAGCTTGCCCTTGTTCCTAAAATTAGGTTCAGTTTGTTTGTTCTGACAGTCGAGGAACTGTACGCATTCGAAGGCTGAAAATGAGTGTACAGCATTGCTGCAGTAGCTCAAGGTCGTTTTGCTTTCTTGGTGAAGCCATCCATGCAAC